CACACACACACACACACTCACTCACACACACACACACTCACACACACACACACACACTCACTCACTCACTCACTCACTCACTCACTCACTCTCCCTGGCTCAGTTAGGGTTCACTATATGGTGGGCTATTGGGCTGTGTCGTTTGTGTGTTCCCAGAGACTCTCCTTCTCTATGTCATAGACTGTGTGTGTGAGAGAGAGAGAGTGAGTGAGTGAATGAGAGAGTGAGTGAGAGAGAATTAGAGAGAGAGTGAGAGAGAACACAATAGATGTTATCTTCTTGTTTATCACTCTTAAGTCTGGGGCTCTGTGTGTGTGTTTGTCTGTGTATGTTTGTCTGTGTGTGTTTGTCTGTGTGTGTGAGAACACAATAGATGGAATCTTCTTGTATATCACTCTAAGTGTAAGCGTGGGGCTCTGTGTGTGTCTGTCTGTGTGTGTTTGTCTGTGTGTGTGAGAACACAATAGATGGAATCTTCTTGTATATCACTCTAAGTGAGGGCCTGGGGCTCTGTGTGTAAGTAACGGACACTTGGGAGACCGGAGGCGAGGCAGACCGCTCCCACACACGCACCTGCAGGTAACCGCCCCTCCCCCTTGAACATTACCCCCCTTGATCAGGTGCTCGTCCGGGGAGTACAGGTAAAACAAACTACATCTTTGGTAAAATACATCCACGGTAAAATACATCTTTGGTTAAATATATCCAATGTTAAACATATCTTTGGTAAGAAACATCTTTGTTTAAATACATCTCTGGTAAGACATACTTCTGATAAAATACCACTAAAATACATCTCTGGTAAAACATTATGTCTAGATCTAGTAAAATCTCTGGTAAAATCTCAGGTGAAACATAATATGCCAAGCAAAATTTCTGGGGAAACATTTGTCTAGTAAAATCTTTGGTGAAACATTATGTCTAGTAAAACCTCATGAAAAACTGGTAAGCAAATTTCAAACAAAACAGTCGGGTGCTATGTCACTGTATTCTAGGGTGTAGACGTGGTTAGGGCAATTGTTGGATCTAAACTGACTTATGTTTTGGCTCAGCTGTTAAAACGCATACGAGAAACGTGTGATAAATTATTGTAGGGAAAGACCAGAGAATATTCTCATCTTTGTGTAGTCGTGTAGATTTAAAGAAGCGGAGATGTCAGAAAGTTTAATGTCCGTGGAAGATATCAGTTCATCAGTTTTCATGATTGCTAGGTGTAGGTGTAGGAAAGTTAGTGTGAAATCAGCAATGCTAGGTGTAGGTGTAGAAAGTGTTTGTGAAATCATCAATGCTAGGTGTAGGTGTAGGAACGTTTGTGTGAAATCATCAATGCTAGGTGTAGGTGTAGGAACGTTTGTGTGAAATCATCAATGCTAGGTGTAGGTGCGTCTCGCCGAGGGTGTTTGTTCTAAAGGGCGTGTCCTCCTGTTCTCTCCCACAGCCCCTCCCACCAGCCAGCACACGCCCACACACCACGTGTGTTAGTGCTGGCGACACACGCACACACCCCCCGGTGTGTTAGTGCTGGTTACATGGTTACACAGCCGTCTGTTAGGTCCGTGTTCGGGTCCTGTGCTCACTCACTCTCCCTCAGGCTAGGTTTGTATGTGCGTGGGTTTGTATGTGGCGGTAAGCTGACAGCACCCTTAGGGTTGTCGCCCGTGCTACTGCGCGCGCATACAAAAAAAAAAAACTTGGGGGAAACTACTTCCGGGTACTCGTGTAGTCACTATAGTGGGGCGTTCTCGGTGGGCGGGGTTTTGTGGTGTGATGTGTCATTGAAGTAGGCGGTGGGTGGGGCGTTCTCGGTGGGCGGGGTCTTGTGGTGTGACATCATAGAAGTAGACGGTGGGTGGGGCGTTCTCGGTGGGTGGGGTCTTGTAGTGTGATGTCATTGAAGTAGGCGGTGGGTGGGGTCTTGTAATGTGATGTCATTGAAGTAGGCGGTGGGTGGGGTCTTGTAGTGTGATGTCATGGAAGTAGGCGGTGGGTGGGGTCTTGTAATGTGATGTCATTGAAGTAGGCGGTGGATGGGGTCTTGTAATGTGATGTCATTGAAGTAGGCGGTGGGTGGGGTCTTGTAATGTGATGTCATTGAAGTAG